GCTAAAAATATTGATTTATTTTCAGTTTATTCAGAATTTTCGAATAATATACCATTAAATTTGGTATTACTCGTTCACTGTTGTCATGGTTGTCGTCGAAAATGTGGGATTTTTTTGCGTTTAATCATAACACTCAACCTGCTAGGATTATTATACTTTAACGTTAATAAGGTTTCTATGAGTTTCCAAAGTTAACAAGATAAACAATGATCAGAACTCATACAAAAAAGTTTTATTTCTACATTTCTAGTACAAAGACCAATCAATATTGCCAGCATTAAAAACGAAAACCGAAACAATTTAACCCGGGCCCTAAAAAAGCTGACAGCAAAAAGATCAGACATTTTCCTGTTCGTCCATAAAATTGTTTTCTCCTGTACAAATACAACATATGACATTGTATAAAAAAGTAAATCCGTGAGGTGACGTCAAGAGTGACCTGTGAGAGGATTACACCTGTAAGCCCCTCAAGTATCGTGGCTTCAAAGCCCGACTTATGGACCTCTTGTGGAGGTTTTATGAGCTATACACTCTATATAATTAGTACGTTATTTTAAGGGGAAACTGACTAATGTGAAGGATTAGTTTGTGGTGTTCAAAGGTATGATTTGTGGTGTCTGTGTTTATGGGGAACTAATATTTTTGTTGAGATTATAGGGAATAAAGTTTTGACCTATATCTTAACCCTTCGTAGGTCTAAAGTAATACGCAAGACACAATAAATTTCTATTGTTATAGCTACCACATTGTGCCACCAAAAACATCATAATGTCCTGTGCTTATAAGCCAAGCAAGGTGTCCATTTGAATTCTCATCGGCAAAATTATCATCATTCCTTCCTTCCACACTTTTTAAATTTTCAAAAATATTCAAATTTTACACAACATCTAAACATTTACTGACATTTAAAGCCCATGATAGCATAGCATGTTAGCATTCTCAGAAAAACAACAGTCAAAAACTATGGAGCGTATATTCCCCGCGTCCCTAGCCAGGTGAGGTGTCAAGGGAAATACACTTGATTGCACTCGTTGCTGCCCCACACACGATGCATTCTGATTTCAGACAGTTCTTTGTGAATCACTTTAGTTTGGTATCTTTTTCGCTTCTCTTTCCAACGGTATTGTTCTCAAATTCGTTGATTTGTGTAGTATAGATTCAGTTCAATGACATTAAGTATTTAGTATACTAGTTTAGTGATTACAGGAAATGCTTTAAAAAATCTGAGAGTAACAATTAAAACTGAATAGTCAGCCAGCGTATGAAATAAAAAAATCGAATTAGTCCGTCAGTTAGATAAAGAAAAAATGTATAAGACACACAATACTTAATTAAATGGCGTTAAGTTCAGGAGTGGGAGGTCGTTACGTCACAACGTGCTATATTTGAAATCAATATATCGTCGAAAGTATTTAATTTTATGAGAAAAGAAAAAATACGTGAATGTTTACCATTCGCAATTTATTACACTAATATGATAAATGTGCAAGTTTTTTCATTTGTATGTTTGGATGTTTATCCGTCAATAACGGATTTTGATGTTTATATACAGGTAGGCTGACATAGGCGATAGGATTTTTATCCCAATTAAATGCTCCCATGGCATAAAACAGGAATACGCGGGTAAAGCCGATAAAAACCAGTATATTATATGAATGAATATTCACATAGAAGCCATAGATAAACGATTAAGCATAAAATTAACACAATTTCTTTACCTCAACATATCCAATCAACCAAGACATTGCGTCCTACAACTGTAACAGTTAACATATACATTGTAGAACTTTCTTTGTTGTGTACAAATTACTAATTACACATCCTTGACATCTTACACGTTGTACTGTTGAAACTCATCAATAATAACAGTGTATTACTAACGTACAGTCGGTCGAGCGTAAACCAGACTACGTCAAGAGATTTCATAACAGATTTACAATTAATTGATTGATTCTGCTGACGACATTTGACAAAGGGCGTGCCTTTGTACGGTAGTCTGTCTTTGGACTGATGGTCATGAGAACGAGCTGACTGACTGTGTTTTGGATGTCCCGAAGGGTGGTCAGTGCAAGAGAGTCTGATGATTTGGATTCCATCTTTGAAAAAACTATAATTATAAAAGTACATTAGTTTCTGATAGTGACTTCGCCCACGTGCCCGTGGTATAAAAAGTAGCCTTATTATGTTATTCAGAACCATAATTTACCCATGTTCTAAATTTCATTTTTTTTTTGGCATAAGCCGGTAAACGAGCAGACGGATCACCTGATGGTAAGCAATCGGCGTCGCTCATGGACACCTGGAACACCAGAGGCGTAACAAGTGCATTACCGGCTTTTCGGGGATTAGGAGTTTAAGGATCGTTGGGGATTCAGGAATTGGGGAGACTGGGGAAGGGGAGGGTAATTGGGCCTCCGGTAATCTCACTCACACGACGAAACACGACGTAAGCGTTGCTTCACGTCGGTATTCTGTGAGGCCGTGGTATCACTCCGGTCGAGCCGGCCCATTCGTGCCGAAGCATGGCTCTCCCACACTTAAATTCAATCTATCCATTTCAATCCTTTCAGCCGTTGTGACGTAGAGAAGTAGCAAACAAACATATAAACGCTTGGATTATAATATTAGTAGGATTGTTTTTATAATAACTATCGTGAGACATACTAAATTACCTAAAAATCGCGAGTTACAGTAGGTTGCGCGACATCACCGCGACCGCGCACGCTGCTCATGAGGAAGAACCCCTCTGTAGTTCGAAACTAGTAGAGCTTTTCTCAGTATATTCACGTGAGTAACCCGCGATTTTTAGTTAAATTTGTAGGATTGTTAGCATATCGCTTATATTTATATGCCCCAAAATCCTCCTTGAGAAATAAAACGCCTAAATGATAAGAAATTCTTCAATAATGTCCTTGTTAGTAAAGAACAGTTTTCATGGTACTAATAACATGATTATGGAGGTGTACCTGTACTTCTCTTTGAAGAAAATGGTGTAGTCCATGTGTGTGTTTATCATTATATGTTACGTGTTATGCACCTTCGACCATTATTAGGGGAAGTACAAGGCTAAATGCTGAGTCTGTTGACTTAAACGTTTTGAACTTGGAATCATGGTCGTTTGGGATGTGTAGTTAATGCAGTTGATGTTAAACGTTACATTACTTACGTATGAATAATACGAAAGATATTTGTAAAAACTGCCAATCAAGATTGACTTCTCTGCATCACCCAAAGGTCAGACTGGGAGAAAATGCCTGCAGCATTAAGTCCACCTTATGTACGTACACATTGTGCATGAAGCTTAAATAAATAAATAAAGATTGGTGCGGTTGCACTGTATAATATTTTATGCGTGATGGATATCACGACTCACGAAGGGTTTTTGTATTTAAGTTAAAATTGTTAAGTAACAGTGTCATATAACTATTGTAGTGAAACGTTTGCGTGTTACATTCGTATCTGTTACAATTTTTTGCTTGTTATAAACCCAATTAAATATTATACAAACATTATGTATCTATATCACATAAAAATGTAGCTCATTAAAGCCAGTATTCCAATTACACAATAAAAGAAAACGCTAATATTCTAGTTGTTTGAGTGCACGGTTGGGGCGGTGGCTGAGCAACTGGCTGACGTGCTGCGTGTCGCGGGTTCGATTCCCGGACGGAACGACACTGTGCGATCTACGAATTGTTGTTTCGGGTCTGGGTGTCATGTGTATGTGAATTTGTATGTTTGTAAATGCACCCACGACACAGAAAAAATCCTAGTTTCGGGCAACGTTATATAAAAAAGTTGTAATAAAAAAAGAAAAATTTCGGAAGGAGAGTTTTTCTCCGAATTTTCATCATGGTATAATGAAAATAAAATTAAATAACACTTTGTCATACGGTCAGATAAATCAATGGATGATTTTCAAAATCTTTAAAGTTCTGACTATGGCGATCACCACAATAATCCACCACAATAAGTACCCGGAGATAGGCTCAAACTACTGGAGAACTAACCGACATATCGACACTTTTCATTTTTTGTTTGACATTAAAAAGTGCCATCCTAATTGCTTAGAACTAATTTAAATAAATGATTTTTACTTTGACTACTTATAATTCAGATTACTCTGTTCCTTCTTTTATTTTTTATTTTTTTATATTTGATGGGCCGACGTTTGGCCACTATCTCGCCTGGTGGTAAGCGATGATGCGGTCTACGGTGGAGCACGTCGTCTCATAAGCAACCTATTCACTCGGGCCTCACTTAACGTATAGACGATTCGAGTGAAAGAAGTACAAACGAACATATTTTCGCACTAATAATAATTTATTAAGGTATAAACTGGCAGTAGGTAATAAATCAATTAATAAGCTAGTTCTGGTCAGATTTCAGTTCGATCATAAAATCATTCGAAAAACACGATTAATCCATTAAAACTACCAATTAGGATTGGTACTAATTTCTGCGCACGAGTTTACGCATGACATTACTATTACGGCATTAATAAGTTATTGTTATTAAATAATACTATTGAATACCTATTCCAATAAAATAATGAATAGATTGATATAACGTTTTTTATTTTTAAATTAATTAACAAATAAATTTGCAGCATGCAATGCATGAAGCTGTCTCTTCTACAACTCCTGAGGATGCTCCGTGGAGGTGCGAAACATGACATCCAATGACTTCTCCCGCCCGGGTGAGGTGGGAGGGAGTGTCAGAGACTCTTACTGACTAAAAACGACCCCGTTCCTACTCCTGCACTTCGAGCTGGAGCCCCGGCAACCCGTTAAGTCTTCCGCGGCTCCGTATCGGCATCAGCTCTATTGGGCTCCACCTATGGTGGTCTGATAGATGATCGTTTATCTGCGAGCCGGATAGCGGTGCTTCATACTGTATGCTACAAATACATTCCTTCAGCAGAATAAAAACTAAACATTTTCCCAGTTGTTAGTATAGCATGGATTTCCACAAAGTAACACTTAATTCTATTCTATATTTATAATAATTAATGAAAACCTGAAAATCTGCTAGAAGGTTGCATCTCGTAATTTCTAAAGTCATACGAGTTATATGTACAAGTGAATCAGGAACCGTAACGGTGGCAAGAGCTTGCACAACCGTTGGGCATATTAACGGCGGCGCACGCGCATCCAACACAGTGACACGCCAATCGCCACGCCAATATGATTCGCAACATTGCTGTGAGTATTTGTTTGATGTGTTTATTTATTTAATTATTGGTGTTTTTATATAAAATGTATTTTTGTTAAAAACGTAATAATGAGGATGTTTTGTGGTTATTATGTGCTTTTCATTTAAGTTTATTACGAGTAATTCGAGTTTTTAAATTATCGCAAAATGTATTTTTAAAAAACATTTTTTTTTTAAGAGTTACTATAAATATTCTTGCTCGTCCTTCTCCATTCAAAACTACACTTTGAAACGAACACCTAGTTTCGCTGACAATTCAATTTTACGTTTCAAAAGTGGTCTAATCAAGGATTAATTGAAATAATTACTTTGATTTTGTTTTATACTTTTTTTAATTTTATTTCATTAACTAATGAAAAATAATAACTATGGAGTTTCAAGCTCGTTCTTCTCCATAGGAATCTTTACCATGGAATGAACAAATAGCTTCACTTTAAAAATTTTTGTTGACGTTCAAAAGTTCCTTTTTTGTCTAATTGAAATAAATGATTTTGATTTTGACTACTTTGACTAATATCACAGAAAATGCATTATTTTAAATGAAAAACTTTACAATATGATATTGATTAATTAATTACAAACTATTTAGACATAAGTTTGAATAACTATCAATTTCATTAAGTCATCATAAAACTAGGTACCTATTATCATACGTAATATATATTGAAACGTTTGTTCCTTCTATTTCAGTTGACCCTGGTCGTAGTGGTAGCAAGCCACATGTGCTTAGCGAACCCCGTACCAGAACCAGACCCTGTTCACAGAACACAGTGAGTAAAGTGCACACCATTATTTAATTAATTTGTTATTTAATTATCATATTGTATATCTACTTTTTCCAATACCTTATTCCGAAACGTGAATTGAAATCATAAAAGTAAAAAAAAATCGCGTTTACACTAATCTAGTTTGCAAAAAGAATACTTAAATAAATCATTTAATCCCTCATTGAATGAACATAAATCGTTGAAAGTATATTTATATAAGAAAACGTATGTATAGACCTACTTCCATAGATGGCATTTTGGTCAACATTATCTTCAGGCTTACCTTTTTGATAACTCTATATTTTCTCAAAACTCAAAAGAAATACTCTTTCTCTTACTCTTCATTTTTTTATATTTTTTTTTATTGGGACAAGCCCCCCATAACCTCCCAAAACCGCCACTGTCTTTTCCTTTAAATATTACATATGGTATAAAAATCATAATTATCACGAATTACGCGTTCCATTCTCAACATCACAACCGAGTCAAAGTCTACATTCCTAATACCCAGATTAGAAACAATACACCAAAAACGACTATGTACGACAAAAACAAAATCCCAAACACACGGTACATTGACTGAATATAACTCATTTCCTTGCAATTATTACCTCTCACGGAGATTTCCTATCTTGCTGATAACATAGATAATAATATCTAACGCTGTCTATCCGTCAGATTTATTGCCTACATAACTGTTAATGGCGACTGTGACATGAGTTATGTACTGTCCACACTAATGTACATTATATATAGGTATATCTAAGGTACAGATTGTATTGTAGACATAATGATGACGTCATGATGATGATGCGGTGTGCTATCTTAGATTTGGTGTACCTAGTAAACTTTATTTTAATAACGTCAAAGGACTAAAGATTTTTTATATATGTCGACCTCATCGTCCGTTTGATAAAATTGACGTGTAAAAGCGCTGCCTTATAGCCTATTTGCAGAAATAAATTCACTTGTTTCACATAAAAAGACTAACTGACCTGGCTTCTCCGTACCGCCTCAAAAATCTCATTTTTCTAACATTTAAAGCTTCCTTGGACTGGACTGGACACTTCAAGACCAAAATTAGCCAAATTGGCTCACCCGTTCTCTAGTTTTAGCGAGACTAACGAACAGCAATACGTTTTTATTTATGTGAAAGTCACTTATGTTACATTTTTTATTATACTAATTGTGTTACTAATAATTTGGGAAATCAAAATGCTCTAGATTCCTTAGACCCTCGAACTCAATTCTTTACAAGGTGACAATTAAGTTTATCGATTTGCAAATTCCACTAACGAAGCAGTAATTGATAGAATGATCTATACAGATAAATTAAATTTGAGTGTGTCTGTAATATTAAAGTAACCGAATTTTACTATATTCATGTGAATATAAATACCAAAACTACATTATTTACAATTTTGTCTGTATGTCTCTTTGTTTGTCTGTAGCTGATGTACAAGGGCTACATTTATTTTGAAAAATAAAAAATGTGTTCTAAAATTCATATTCTACACGGACAAAGTCACGGGCAACAGTTAGTCCTAAATAAAACGCAAAAATGTGTTGTATGATATATCTACTGCCAGTATGTTTTTGAAGAAAAAGTAGATAGGCCGTAAAGTTTCCCAAAACTGGGCAGTGGCAATTAATTCAATATCCTTTGTTACAGCGTGAGAATTCACGTGCCATATGAAGTCCATACCTTACACCATCACCACGTTGAAACCGTTCCTGTGATCAAGGAGGTCCCTGTGATCAAACCAGTGCCTGTTATCAAAGAGGTCCCTATCATCAAAACTTTACCTGTAGTCCAAACTGTTCATGTACCAGTTCATCATACGGTGCATGTCGAGAAACCAGTATTTGTGCCGATAAAAGAGCATATCTCGTTCTCTTCTTGGCATTAATAGACTGATAATAAAACCTCTTTATTTGTAGAAATAATGGGAATTTATTATAATTGTTTTATCAAAATATTGCACTGTTTTTGTTCAAGTCGATTGATGTAATTGTTATTCGAATGTATACCTCTTTTAACTAGTGTTACACTTCATAATGCTTTAAACAGTTTACAATTAAAGTCTGATTTTTATCTTAGAAATTGTACTACGTGAATGATGTATCTTTTTAAGAAATTATTTGTGGACATGTTGTTATATTATCAAGTATACATACATAGGTGATATTTTCAACGCTATTATACTAAAATTTGTTTAAAAAGATATGTCATCCATGTAACCTATAATCTTGATATCTTTGTAAATGTGTGATAGTTACCATACTTTAAGTTAAACTTAGTAAGTAGGTAAGCTAATAAATAAACCATTTACTAACTCAAAGCTGAGAAGCGTCTAATTTACTTAAACATTCATGATGTAACTGCAAACGTGTACAGTTTAAACATCAGTTTATCGACTAAAGTTATTATGCACTATAATATATAGACAATTAGGTATGATTTAAAATGCAGTTCATGATATAATTGATTTTAATAAGCTTTAACGAAGTGCACTAGTCTGTAACAGCATCAAAAATGTCAGGTAACAAATGAGTTTAATTAGCATGCCACGTAGCTTGTACTGGCGACCGCCATTTTAATTGAACGAGTGAACGAATGAACTATCGAATATTATTATGAAACGTAAATAATGTTAGCAATAGCGATTATTCGATTGTTTATACGATTATTCGATGTTTGTTATAATTAGATTGTACTCGATTATGTTTATAAGGTTGTTTTGTTTAGAATTGTAATTTTTTATATGATATTATTGTGTCACGCACATTTTAGTCTTTATCTAGTCGTCTTATAGTATACATTGCATTGTCTACATCGATTTTTATGGCACATGAGCATGTGTAATAAAAAGTTTGTTTGTTTTCATTATTTCTATTAAATATGTATATCGAATGTAATGTAACGTGTATGTTCGTAAATACTCTTTTATATCACAAAATGAGATTTGAATAGTTCATCTGTGATATGATAATACAGTGTAAAAATTTGTCGATCGTGTTTCTTTCATCATTCCCATAAAACTAAAAAAATAAGTTCCAAAAATCCACCACACAGGTCACATCCATGATAAGAAATCTACAAACACAAGGTTTTGTTTTAAACCCGCGTCATTTTCTAAGAGGTAACTCGGATATCGATTCTAAGTCCGAATCAATAAAAAAAATTGTAGGTAAATATTTTTCATTTTTCTGAAATTACGGAAATCCGTAAGTGCGAACTACACGCCGCCGTCTTGTAACTAGCTTTATAACGCGGCTTAACACACACAAACTTAAACACGTAATTGATGTTATTCCTAATTCCAGAAAACTCCAATAAGAAACATTGCTGTCGCTTATTCTGAAATACTGTTGAACTTAAACGATTAATTATAGTCGTATTTTTAACTATTGGCCCGAAATTTTCTCTTACATTAAACCTTTACGACTTCTGTGACATGCCCCCGAAAAATGACACGGTTTCAAAACTACACCTTGTATAAATCGTAGAATCGAACAGTACCAAACCCACATGATATTGAATACCACACATCAAATAAAGCCATTATTTACTAAAATAGTCTGACGCCTACACAAAGCATCACAACTTTAGTAACCATTATTACACGTTAAAATAAATTTTAACCACAAAACAGTAGCAAAACAAACACAAAAAGTCATTTCAGTCCCACAGGATGAGTCCTAGCTTAACTGCGAGCTACACATAAATATAAACGACTGTTTACTTTCGTCACGGATTCATAAGTAGATGGAGAAATCAGTAATGGAATCCATTAATAAGGTGTGTGTGTGTGTGTGTATCTACCCTTTAGATTTGTATGTTAAAGGGCATTTTCAAATATCTTCATATCACACATCAACAGCTTATAAGTGGCCACTGCAAATATACATAAGTTATGTGTATAAAATACAGTATTACACAAAGTAATTCATAGGGTCAACAGACAAAAAATTTTTTCACCATGACAAAGTTTTTATTTCATCAAATTTTCATGAAATGAATATTACAACAAATTATTAACAAATCACTCCATTTACTAAATACTCCATGGTTTGTAAGGCTCATTGTTTAAACGCGTTATCGCAGCTCGCAGTCTATCGGCATGTCGGCCTATTGAAGCCCTGTCTGTCTGTAAACTCATCGCGAACTATCGACAAGTCTGGCCTTTTGTTTAATTTCGAAAACAATAGAAAGGTTACATCAATGTCGTTAATGATATTTTAATAGCAAATCGACAATAGAATTTTCAATGGGGTGCTATAAATGTAACTCTATTGTGTGTTATTTTTGACATAAAGCGATAGGGGTAGGAGAAGAAATGCCTTCGAGGAGTATCGAGAAGAATAGAAGAGAGTGTCACTGTAACATGAAAAAATTTTGAAAGGTCATTCAACTACCTACGTACTAAATTGGATTCGGGAAAATAAATGATTTTTTTTTTATTTTTATTTTTTTTATGTTTTTATTTTAAGTTTTACACAATTGGCAAGGAGGACTTAATGCTAACAGTATTCTATGCCAGTCATCCTTTCAGTAGTGCAGAATGTATGTGGTAGGTGGTAAGCGGCAAAAAGGTTATGTGAGGTGGTAGCAATTATTAAATTAGGTAAATACTTTTCTAAAGATTTCAATGAAACTTTGATGTCATTTCGCCCACGAAATTTAGATTTTTAACTTTTGTATTTATAAAAAAATACAATATTCGTGACAGTAGTAACTGGTGAAAAATATAATAGTTTTACCGTAAAAGCAAACATTCACAAAGCCCCACAAACTTCATAATATTACTAAACACAAACCCTAGACACAAATTCAGTTCAATTTATGATTTTATGACAGTCCTAATAAGCGCTATTTTAGTATAAACAACAGCTTTACAAATACATGTAATTGGACCGAAGAGTTAAGTTTACTGGTTTAGCTACCTATACTGAGTTGGTTAACAGTTGAATACCAGTCGATTAGTACTTGAGTAAGCTCAGGTAGTGGTAGAATTGTGGTTATAAAATCAGATAGTAAATGCTATATTTTAACTAGGATTATTGCTATCTGGTTCAAAATTGTAAATAGCTATGTATTTGTACGCTGTTCCATTTTGTAAAATGATAATACAATACCAGTTACGTATCGTCGGTAATAATGCAAAACTACGAAGCTATGATAAGCAGAGGCCGCGTATCTGCAATAGATCCAGTTTTACAGGGGAAGTTAAACTTCAATGAATTTGAAGCTCATTTTTGCATATTAAAAATGAGTCGAAATAAACTCGTGTCAAAGTGGTGGCAGCCAATTAAAATTTTGTGAGATTTTTCCGCGAAAACTTGAGTTAGCTACATTTTTCAGATACGTGGAATTATCCAATGCTAGTTCTGCGGATTTGCACTATTTCCAACGTTATCTTAAATAGTTCAACAACGACTCCAAAGCTAAGAATTGTCTAAAGCTAAGAATTGAATCTGTCGAGTTTATGGTCAGAAACCAACCAATCATCACACCAATTGCTAAGAACACAATGAGATACATAAAAAATCTAAACACAATTTTTAATTTAGACACATCGTGCCCACTCAACTTAAATCCTTCAAAAACTTTATAGAAAATCTTATGTTACCATAGAAAAAAAATATAATAGTAATATGATCAAAATAAAAAAAAACATAAATCAAAAAAAGAACACCAACATAAAGCTGTAAACACACATTACACGCCTACTTATCACACTTACAATTTTACGCCAAATTAATTCTTTTTGCCAAGTCATGTACACTTGTTTCTGATAATTATGTCGCTCATGAACACGACTCTTGACTGCAATGATAACGTGACAGTACAAATTGAGATGCCAATTTAAATGGCAATCTGCTGAACAATGCCATTAATGTTGCCAGTTAATGGGATTTTTGTAATGTTGTGGCTCTTTTTTTGTTGCTGGCAACGTGAGATAAACTATACATAAAGGTGGGATAATCTGTGGGTAACCAAATATTTTTGATTTTGGTTAAGGGAGACAAGAGAAGACAGACAGTCGTTCTATGCAAAATTTTAACATTTTGAATTTAAATTTAGAATTTCTGTTCATTTTTCCTTCTACATACAATAAATACATAGATACATATCTCACAACTGGTATCTAAGCTAACGTTTTTTTTACCAGAAATTAGTAATGAAACACATTTTTTTATGAAAGCAAAAACTATTTTCTATCTAAATGAAACAATTGAATATGAAGTTCTCATCAAATCTCACTCAAATCAAACAATCAATACAATCAAAACCATGCCAATAAATAGGGACAAATTAGTTTAAACAAGCTTACATAAACAAAGTAATAAATAACATAAATTAAAACTCTGCTAAAATTATTCCAGTTCGATCATATTCACCGATTAACTGACCACAGAATTCGAGCGGTTAGGCTTAGTTAGATTAAACGGTATAAGAGTTAATGGACCATGTGCTTTGTATAGGATTTCGAGAGTTTATGTATTACATGATATATAATTATATAACTTACTTAATTTGACTTGGAATTTACGGTGCAAATTAGACTGCACGGTGTAATAACTCTTTGTGTGATCCACAGATTGTTGTTCCGGGTCTGGGTGTCATGTGTATGTGAACTTGTTTGTTTGTAAACGCACCCAAGACACAGGAGAAAATCCTAACGAGGGACATCGTCGCGGAGAACCTAACGGGTTACCGGGGCTCCGGCTCGACGTGCAGGAGAAGGAATGGGGTGGTTTTTAGTCAGTAAGAGTCTGACACTCCCTCCCGCTTCACCCAGGTGGGAGCAGTCATTCGATAATTTTACCCGCTTAAAAAAAACGTGGGACGTTAAAAAAATTGCTATGATCTGTTACTCAGTTTTTTACTTTTCACAGGAAAGCAATAAATATGTTTATCTCAGACTTCTGTGTTTAATATATTAACAAAAGATCGTGACAGGTTAGCCTTAATCCCGTGAAACTATTTACTGAATCGTCAATAACATAATATATCCCTTATCTTAATTATAATTTCAGAAATCATAGGTATTTTTCTAGGTAACATTATGCCATAAATATGTTTACCTATGAATTTTCTATTACGGTT